GTCTAATACAAGGAAATGTTCTAAGCCTCTTTGACCTGAGTGGTCTGTCTTTAGTTATTAGTTTTTCAGCATAACAGAACCAGCACTAGAAGTGTCTCTTGTCCTGAATACTTGCGTAGAGTTCAGAAGACTCACAGAAGATGAGTAGAAGTAGCTCTAGACAGGAACTGTGAAAAAGATGGGCCTTCTTACTTGCTATAGTTTTTGCACTCTGAACTTAGGTGTATTGTGCAAAGTTTATGGATCTCCGTTTCCTTATCAATAAAATACAGATAGTACCACTCACTTAGCCCCCCTTGAAGTATTATTATTCTTTTTTTTTTTTTTTTTTAATTTTTTTTTTTTTAACGTTTATTATTTTTGGGACAGAGAGAGACAGAGCATGAACGGGGGAGGGGCAGAGAGAGAGGGAGACACAGAATCGGAAACAGGCTCCAGGTTCTGAGCCATCAGCCCAGAGCCTGACGCGGGGCTCGAACTCACGGAGCGCGAGATCGTGACCTGGCTGAAGTCGGACGCTTAACCGACTGCGCCACCCAGGCGCCCCGAAGTATTATTATTCTTAATGTGAAGTGTTGATGTACATTGGAAACTCGATAGAAACATAAATGAAGAGTGGTGTTAGTAACCATGGTAATATGAAGTAACCTCAGATTCTTACCGCTTCTCAACCTGTTCATATGCAGATTTTTATTATCAATAACTAATAACAGGAAAAAGACATTATTACATATTTCTTATAAATTGTACAAATATAGTACATGCAACTTTATGTACAAATCTTCTCTCAAGGACATTGCCTGAGAAATACTTAATTTAGCTAGCAGTGTTTGCAAATCTGGATTTTCTCAAATTATTAATCATCACCATCATTGTCGTTGCCCTCTCAATTACTAAGTGTGCCTGTGATTATAGTTTTCTGGAATCGATCTAAAATCTTAAACGATCAGTCCTTTAAAATGCGTAGTGAGGGGCGCCTGGGTGGCGCAGTCGGTTAAGCGTCCGACTTCAGCCAGGTCACGATCTCGCGGTCCGTGATTTCGAGCCCCGCATCAGGCTCTGGGCTGATGGCTCGGGGCCTGGAGCCTGTTTCCGATTCTGTGTCTCCCTCTCTCTCTGCCCCTCCCCCGTTCATGCTCTGTCTCTCTCTGTTTCCTTTATTTCAGCTTAGAAGTAATTAGGCAAAAATTGGGAAATTATGTATCCTACCTAATAATATTCTGTCACAGTCCCAAATTATTTGAGTGGGATAATTGTGACTAAAATCTAGAGAATATTTGAGTGTCACAGATAAATACATAGGCCTCTTCTTGGAGATATGTGAATAATCAATGTACTATTTAAAATATTTTCAAGTCTTTAAAATCTAGCATCATATCTGAGAAATGATCATTTTCTATAAGCATTTTGTATTATACCTAACACCTTTAAGTATATATTGTTTTATCCTCATTATTGCCCAATGATTAAAGTATTATTCCCATTTCACATAAGAAAACTGGTATTCAGAAGGCTTAGGTGGTTTCTCAAGATTATGGCTAATAAACGACAGAGAATTTGCCCTGAATCTTTTGACTAAAAATTAATTTTTTATTATACTATGTCTGCTTGTTTATCAAATGGACATTTTAAACCTCAATATTATGCTATCTACAGTAAGTTGAAGCTCTTCATCAAAGATTTCTAAAGTCACTAATATATTACCTGCAGATTATCACAATAATAAAAATAAATTTTGTTTTCCCATCTTGATTCTAAAACTGCAATCATCATTTTATTCTATTTTTTTTATGACTCAAGCTCAGAGAGTGAATGGATTTCTTCCCTTGGCCTCTTTTCTAGTTTCCTTTTCAGATTTATTACCTTCTTTTCCCTGGTATGAAGTTATGTGTGGTAGACGATTGTAAAAGGAATGGTTCATCTGATTGTTTCTAAGCACTTATATGTAGCACTCTGGAAGGCTCAGTGTGCAGTGGGCTGTGAGACAAAATACCAAGCTGAGGCCTAATGGGAGGTGTCTTACTGTTCTTTTCAAAAAGCTTCGACTGCATTCCCATTAGAGTTCTTTGTCTTTCTGTGCATGAAAACTTGGTTGATTAAGAGAAATTCCTATCAGGGGCGCCTGGGTGGCGCAGTCGGTTAAGCGTCCGACTTCAGCCAGGTCACGATCTCGCGGTCTGTGAGTTCGAGCCCCGCGTCAGGCTCTGGGCTGATGGCTCCGAGCCTGGAGCCTGTTTCCGATTCTGTGTCTCCCTCTCTCTCTGCCCCTCCCCCGTTCATGCTCTGTCTCTCTCTGTCCCAAAAATAAATAAAAAACGTTGAAAAAAAAAATTAAAAAAAAAAAAAAGAAATTCCTATCAGAAAGTGCATTAATAAAGGTTATGTCCATTCTTAATTTAATTGTAATTAGTAATTACATTTACTACTTGTAGTTTCCGTTGCTTAATAGTAGTATATTAACCATTTTTGGAGGTAACATTACATATTTGACTTAGAGATTTAATATTTTCCAATATAGAAATCAGACAGTGGAGATCTGACTTCTAAAAGAAATCTGAAATTAACTGCAAATTTGAGGGATTTGCTTATATTATATACAAATATGTATGATATACAGTGCATATTCTAAGGCCCTCACTGATCATGCTATTAAAAACGTGTTATTCCAACTTTGTACAGTATGTTTTCTGCACATATTTTTTGGAGAAAATTAGCTTGGCAAGTATCAAATTCAGTACTGTTTAGTTTACTTAGAAAGGTTAGTGCCATCAAGTGGCAAAGAATGGATATTTCTAAATTTGGTTTAAACTTGTATAACTTCTTGAACGTGCATATTTTTGGGTCTTTCCTAGAAAGCATTTTTTTTTTTTAAGTTTATTTATTTTGAGACAGAGCAGGAGAGAGGCAGAGAGAGAGAGGGAGAGAGAGAATCCCAACCAGGCTCCGCACTGCCAGCACAGAGCCCATTGTGGGGCTTGAACTCATGAACCATGAGATCATGACCCGAGCTGAAACCAAGAGCAGACACTTAATGACTGAGCCACTCAGGTGCCCGAAAGCATATATTTTTTTAATGAACATTTTAAAAAGTATTATAGTGAATAGTTAAAATTCAACTGCTTGTATTATAGGCTAGCCACCTTTAAAAAGTATAGTAATTAAGAAAGAATTGTTAAGTGAATTATTCTTTATAAATAATAGTATAAATACTAATAGAATCTTTTGCAGTCTTTTGAAAAGCTTCACAAGAATCTTCAAAACTAAAAAGAGAGAGCTTCTTGTGTGAAGATAATTGAGTGTTACTCCTACATTATAATGTGATAGTAATTTTGCAAAAATAATATTCTCTTTTATCAAAGTCAATAGAAATTGACTGTAAAATACTGTGAAATGTATGCTTTAGAAAACTTTGTATTTGGTAGCTTGTAGAACTAAATATAAAGCAATGGTATAAAAACAAATGTCTTGCACAACAATGTGAATGTACCTAATGCCACTAAACTGCATACTTAAAAATGATTGATATGGTAAGTTTTATGTTAGGAATATTTTATCATAATATATATATGTATATAATCAGATTTAACAAAAAGAGAACCAACATAATTTATATATATATATAATATGAAATATATATAGTATTTATATATAATAATTTATATATATATATAAAAAAATATCTTACTGTGGCTGTGAACAAAGTCCTAAATCCATGATATTAATAAAACTAGTTTGAAGTGAAAAGAAAAGAATGTATGTGATGATTATGAAAAAAGTTTTCTCAGCAAACAAAAGCAAAATCCTCTTCTTTTTTTTTTTGTATCTTGTGATTTTCCTGTTAGATTTTTATTTTAATTATATTTCTCAATAATCAGTTTTGAGGTTTTCCTCAGGCAGCAAATAGGATAAGTTCTATTATTCAAGCCATTTAAAATGTTTCCTGTCTCCTTTTATTGAAGTGTCAGAAAATTTTTACTGAAAGAACCAGATAATAAATATTTTAGGCTAGGGACGCCTGGGTGGCTCAGTCAGTTGAGCGTCGGACTTCGGCTCAAGTCATGATCTCACAGTTCTTGGGTTCAAGCCCCGCATCAGGCTCTGTGCTGACACTTTAGAGCCTGGAGCCTGCTTTGGATTCTGTGTCTCCCTCTCTCTGTGTCCCTCCCATGCTCATTCTCTGTCCCTCTCTGTCTCTGAAAAATAAATAAACATTGAAAAAAATTTAATAAAAAAAAATCTTTTAGGCTTTGAGCCAGAAGGTCTGTTGCAACCTCTCAGCTCTACTGTTGTAATGCAAACGCTGCTATGCTGCTACAGACTGTACATAAACAAATGAGCATGACTGAGTTCCGATACCCTACAAAAATGCATAGGGTTAGATATGACCCATGGGCCTGTACTTTACTTGATACTTTTAAGTTACTTTATTTGAGTGAGTTGCTAGTTATGAATAATAATTTAAAAAATCATTAATTTCAGACTGATTGAGATTCATGTGACCAGAAATGGAAAGAATCCCTAAGTTTTGGAAATGTGGTTTTTCATTGCAAATCATTTGGCCACCAAGAAGAACAATACCTATTAAGAAGAATATATGATTTATCTGAGAATTATGTGTAGGTTGATCATAGTGTTTTGAATATTTATAAATTTATCCTTAATTTCAAACATCAAAATGACTACTAATTGGCACCATTTAACTTTAGTAAGAGGAAAACCATTTGTCTAAATTGAAAGTTAATTTAGTTTGTTTTTCAGTATAATTTTAAAACATAAATATATCTGATTGGTGTTCTCTGCAATGGAGTGAACAAGAGCAGCTATCGTCAGCTTTTTTATTGGGACGTTCATATTAAGTGAAGTTTCTTTTCTTTAAAAAGTAGTGAGTTTTAACCATTGTTACATTTTTATAGTAGATCTTTTCAGATACTAAATAACCAGCTCACATTGGGAGCGAAATAGATGACTTTCTTGTGCTTTAAATCACCTTAATTCATCAGGTGAGTATGCCGTGGCAGCAGAACTGTACAGAGAAGTGTTGCGTTCATCTGAGGAACACAAAGGAAAACTCAAAACCGATTCACTCCAAGTGAGTAAAAACTAAACAATTTCAAGTATATACAAAATAATTTTTCGGAATATTTAAGAAAATAAAGGGTAACAAAATGGATGGACTGAGCCATAATCTCTGAGGATGAAGTTTTGGATTCAGTGCTTTCAACAATAAGCACTCAAGGTGATTTGTAGATAGATGAATCACTACTATTCCGTACGTTCAGGCCATTATTGGCACAAGGCTGACTGGATAAATCTAACCTACGTTAGAAAAACAGGTTAAAGTATTTGTGCTTAAAAGAACGGGGTGAGGTTTATCACTTTTGCATATAAATGTTAACACAGTGGCATAGTTTTGACTGAAAGAAGAAAAATGCTGTAAACTAAGCAGTGGAACTTAGTAATAAAACCTTCCCACTGATCTTCTGATTTAATTTTTAGAGGTATTTTAGGAAGAGTTGAATATTTGAATTTCAACATTTATTTAAATTTTGAATCTCTTCCCTTTCTTAGTTCTGTCCAGTGGGTCATATAGACAAGGCTCTCTAGCTAAATGGTAAATAAGGACTACTTTTATTAGTCTTAGTAAGTTTAGATTTGAGCCCCTAATGGGACTTCTTTATCATTCAGAATCTAGACCTTGGGACCCACATGTTCATCTGTGCCTCAGTGAGTATTAGGAAGAGTTTGGGGGGAAAGAGGAGAAAATTAAATACAAGCCTTCTGTATGGATAAGGATTATAGAATTCAGACCTTGGGTCAGAAGCAAACGTGTTTGCCTCGTGGAAGAAGGAAGAAGTACAAAGATAACATGCTCCTGAATAAAGGAAATAAAAGTAGAAAAGTGGGCAAGAAGACGGTTAAGTCCAGTGTGCCTGATGGTTCAAGAGTGAAGAGTAATCAATCACCCTGTTTCTTCTTTTTGGTCTTAATAATCCCAACTACTGGTAAACCATGGCCCACTGAATGTTTTGCTCTATTCAGTCAGATTAGCCACTCTGCTCCCTTGGGATAAAATGTGGAAGGGGGTGGAAAGAGGTATTCTTCCCAGTCCACTCCTCCACCTTGTTCAGGAAGCAGTAGAAGTCCTCTTCCACAGACACACACAGAGAAGAGGAGCTGAGTTGCTACCACTTTGTTTCCGTAATGTTATTTACAGGTTTGTTGTTGCTACTAAATCGGATAGTGTTGCTGATTGTATTATTCATGTGGCCATGCTGAAAAGACCTAAGACATTTGAAGTGACTCTTCAGAGATGAACTCTACAAAGATCTCTACCATGGCCTGTAATCTGTAGCCAAACACAATAAACCTTTATAGTCTCGAATCACTGGCACCAAGTCAGATGTTACCAGGACTCTTTCTGATAATTCTTTAGCCCTTAGCTGTCTTCCCAAGTAAAGAGTCAAGTTAACAGATAGAAATTACTTTCACTTTATTTCTTCTCACAGCCCTTGCTTGACTCCAGGGGGAGCCTTTAACCAGCTGCAAACTCAGTATCATAGTGAGAAGCCTGGTTTATACTGAATACAGAGACAAAAGATACAGTTTTCTCCTTCTTCCAATAGTCTTTACCTCCAGCTTCTCCCCTTTCCAGCCCTTCAGTTCAACAGATCTAGGTCACAGCTGTGTTTTCCTATGGATTTCATTATGATAATATCATAATATAATTGGTAGGTTCATGCAGACTCATTTCCCAGAAGAGGAGTCAAGTCTGCGCAGTCAGCCTTTCTACTTTACTGGACTTACTTGGCATAATCATACGTAGTTCCATATGTAGACATATGCACGTATAATAGAAGACATGTACCTGTATCAGACATCCTGCTAAATGCATAGATATATTTCATAAGACTGCATATTTTTAAATGAAGAAAATTTATGCCATTATGAATTAAGACCTTTACTATGAAACTGATTTTGGTTTTCTCTGAGGAAGTTGGTGCTCAAATTGTGTTAGAGGAAAAGTTTTCAGTGATCTGATCTTAATGTGTTAGTAATCTATATGCTGTATGAATAGTGGATTTGCCCTTTAGAGTCCACTGCATTGGCTCTCAAAATTACTGCCTTTTGTGTGTTTGTAGAGACTTCATGCTACCCATAACTTGATGGAATTGTTGGTAGCCAAGCACCCAGGAATACCTCCTACCTTACGAGATGGCAGACTTGAAGAAGAGGTAATTATTTTTTTATTCAGTCTATAAAAGAATTTTTTTCAGACTTTATCCATCTCAACATTTATCCATCTCATGTAATGTTAATAATCCATCTCATTAACATTTCCTAGGGCATACCACATCTAAATAAAAGTAATGATATTTTTTTTCTGCTGCTTTTATGTTCCAAAGTTTGCCTCGGTTGGTAGAGAATTGCATAGAGATTTTGGATGGTAGACAGTTGCAGTACTCCATATTATGTTGTTTCTCTTGTAATCCACTTGCAGTTATATGGTAACTGCTTTTGTAGATATGGTTGTTGGTAGCCAGCAGCACATGGAAAGAAAAAGGGAAGAAGGAAGGAAAGGAAGGAAGACCTTGTTGATCTCGTGACAGATCTGCAAAAGATGTGGTTTAGTAAAAAATAAAAAGCTTTGCACTTCCTCCACCTTTCTATTACCTAGGCGTAAATAAATTCAATATTTCGGTGGTGTTTCTTGTGTCCTCTGAAAGAAGTTACTTCTGTAGTGAGTCTTGCTTCATTGGAAAGAATGCTACAAATTATTTCACTGTAAATTGTTAATGAGCCTGATATGCTAGTGGCCCCATGGATTTTTACCTTTTTAAAAGTCAGAGATAGCAAAGCTAAAATCAAAAGAGTAGTAGATACTTTTGAAATGAATTGAACCTGTAAGTGGGACCTTTTTTATTTGAATTAAAATACAAAGTAAGATTGTAGAAGTGTGTACAGGCCTTTCTTGATGTTAGATGGCAATCTAAGTGTTGGAGATTTTGGAGTGAAATCTTCTTCCCTATGCAGGCGTCTCACCTTACATACATCAGGAATTCTTGGCTTAAATGCCTTCAGCGACAGGAAGCTCTGGGAGGCCGTTGAGTCTGTTGGTAGATAGCTGTGATGATCAAATAATTATAGCCAAGGAATTTTAACAGAAATTAATTGGAAGGTTGTGACAGGAACAAGAAAAATGCATCATGAGAGAAGGAAGAAGAAAAATGTATCGCACTGTATAGATATATTTCCAAGGAGACCATAGTATCAGTTTTGCCTGACTCCTACTATAGAATGTGAAACCACAGATCCAAGAAATTATCTATTTCAACCTCCAGCTCTTGCAAATGAAATAACAGAAGCCCAGGGAAGTGGCTAATCCAAAGACATGTATCTGTTCAGTTGAACCTCATGAAACCGCCATCTTTGTAAGTCCAAGGGTCTAGTGTTGACAACTTCACATGGCTCAACCCACTTCTAAGTGGAAACGTTAGGATTTCCTGTTCAGTAGTCTTTCTGGTTTTCCTCCCACTATCCCATATCACCTTTGATCCCCTCTCTTTATTCATAAAGTAGTTTCAAGAACCAGTTAAATATTTCAGTTAAATGGAAGAGAGTAGAGAACTGTATAAGTTTCCTAGTGGGAATTAATAAGGACAAATTTTTCAGTATTTCTTTTGCTTTGCAAGTAATGTGATCCTTCTTACCTGGGAAAGTTGAAAGGGGAAGAATTTTTAAATCCTTTTGTATTAGTCAGCTAGGGCTGCCTTAACAAAATACCACAGTCTAGGTGGCTTAAACAAGAAGAATTTATTTCTCACACTTGTGGAGGCTGTGAGTCCAAGACCAAAGTGTCAGCAGCAGTGGTTTCTCCTGAGGCCCCTCTCCTCAGCTTGCAGATGGCTGCCTTCATTTGTGTCCTCACATGACATATCCTGTGTGTGCTTGCATCCTTGATGTCTCTCCTTTTTTTTTTTTTCTTTTTTCTTAAGGACACTAGTCATATTAGATTAGGACTCTACCTTTATGATCTCATTTAACTACATTTACTAATTTAATTGCCTCCTTAAAGGGCCCTATCTTCAATTTGGGGGTTAAGGCTTCACCGTATGGTTTTTGAGGGAACACAGTTTAGTCCACAACGCCTATGTTACTGTATATTCTCAAGTGTTATTTCTAAGCTGAAGTAATTCCAAGAAATTGAAATAAGTGAGTCAGACAAATTCTAAAATGTTGTTTTGTCTCATTTTGAACTACTACTGTTCTTCCCATTCCCCCCCACCCACCCCCCACCCGCTTTTTTTTCTGGTTAAAAACTTAGATAGAAATTTGGGAAGCAGACCTTGGGATTTCTTAAATTTTGTGACTTACAGGTAGATGTGATCTCTTTCATATATATCCTAGGAATTACTAGCATGGTTTTTATGTCCTTGACAGCATACTTGGAAGTTTTGTGCTTAAACTGTGTTAAGTAACTTTACATATATAAAATAACCACATTGTTCTTGCAGCATTATACTGAATTCTTTTCTAGGCCTGGAATGAAAGTTTGTATTTGTTTCCTGTTTCAACACAGGCCAAACAGCTGCGAGAGCATTACATGAGCAAGTGTAACACGGAAGTTGCAGAAGCACAGCAAGCTGTGCAGCCGGTGCAGCAGACCGTGCGGGAGCTGCAGAGAAAGGTGCATCCCCAGAAGGACTCCCCTTACCTGTGCTTGTCTCCGGGAGCATTTTGGGTTGTGTCTTGCTTTGGAGAGGAACTTGAACTTTCTTATTCATCTTGGAATTCTTAGCACCTAGGATGATGCCTATCCCATAATAAACATATATTTGCTGTTAGCAGTGTTTGTTGATTGAGCAGATGCGTAGAGTCCACGACCATACCACCCTGAACGCGCCCGATCTCGTCTGATCTCGGAAGCTAAGCAGGGTCGGGCCTGGTTAGTACTTGGATGGGAGCAGATGCGTAGATAAATCATCCATTTGGAAGTTGTTCTCTTTCATTTTTTTTTTAAGTTCTCATGGGTTTTCTCTTATCTGGTGAGATAACAAGTTGTCTTTTCAAGAAAGTAAAGACTTGGGGCGCCTGGGTGGCACAGTCGGTTAAGCGTCCGACTTCAGCCAGGTCACGATCTCGAGGTCCGTGAGTTCGAACCCCGCGTCAGGCTCTGGGCGGATGGCTCGGAGCCTGGAGCCTGTTTCCAATTCTGTGTCTCCCTCTCTCTCTGCCCCTCCCCCGTTCATGCTCTGTCTCTCTCTGTCCCAAAAATAAATAAAAACGTTGAAAAAAAAAAATTTTTTTTTTTAAAAAAAAGTAAAGACTTGCCTCACCTCCTTCTGATCTTAGTGTGTATATTTACAAAATCTTTTAAGATGTCAGAACATTAGAAACATGGGTATTTTTCTTATGGAACACGTGCCATTTGTCATTTCTAAATTTTTTTTTTATGAAATCAGTAGCAAGCCTGAAGAGGAGGCTACACAGAACACACAGTCTTTTTTATTCTAACCAGTTACTCCACATTTTATTCTTCCTAGTGCATTAATTATTTAGTATTCAGGCATATAATTTTGCCAGTTATCAGAGTATTATGGAGTAGAATCTAGTTCAGTTGGTTGAGGATTAGCAGGATGTCTTTATTATGCTGAGAAAGAGACCTGCCACCTTTTCAAATATATACAATGAATACTGAGTTTTCATTTTGATAATGTATTTTGTTAGCACAACTTTGTTACACAAGTATATATACAGTAAATTCTCATTTATCCACAGTAGTCAGGAGACAGGTGGGTATTCTCTTTATGTATGCAAAGGTAGTACACACCCATTATATATAGAGTATACAGTCTATATATATTTCCTTATAATTCCTTGGAAAGTAGCATGCTGTTGTTTCCTTTGATTTTTTTCACAGCACCTTTCCCAGTGACAGAAACATAGTGAGTAATGGGATGCCTGGGTGGCTCAGTCAGTTAAGCATCTGACTTGGGTTCAGGTCATGATCTCATGGCTTGTGGGTGCAAGCCCCACATCAGGCTCTTTGCTAACAGCTCAGAGCCTGGAGCCTGCTTCAGATTCTGTGTCTCTCTCGCTCTTGCTCTCGCTCTCTGCCCCTCCCCCACTAGTGCTCTGTCTCTGTCTTTCCAAAATAAATAAATGTTAAAAAATTTTTTTTTAAAAACCAAAACATAGTACTGAAAAAACATGAACTGATCAGCTGTTGTCTTTTTTACAGATTTATTCAAATTCTCCTTGGTGGCTGAATGTGATCCACAGAGCAATAGAATTCTCTATTGACGAGGAACTTGTTCAGCGAGTGCGAAATGAAATAACCAGCCACTACAAGCAACAAACTGGGAAGCTTTCTATGTCAGAGAAGTAAGGAAATAGTACAGAATAGAATAACTTTATGAGTAGTGACCCCAAATATTCAGATCATTTGATGTTAAGAGGTGCAATTAAATATCAGAACATACTGTGGTTACGAACATCTGGATTTTACATATTGTTAAGAGTAGATTTCAAACTAAAACATTAGATATAAGTCTGAAAAAGGAAACCTGTTTTCTATATATGACTCATCTTAAAATATTCCCTTTTTAATGCTTTTTTTGTTTTTTAATATACTTAAAGTATATTCTTTGTATCTTCATTGGACACACCCAAAGCCAACTCTAAGCAAAGTCTTGAAATAGACTTTGTTTTGGAGAATTGAGGTAAGGCATTCATGCTTCCACTGTGTAACTCAGCCTCACAGACTAATAACCATCATAGCACCACAGGGGCCCAGGTTTTGTGTTCTAGAGTTTCCTGCGGTCTCCCCCATCTTTCTCTCTTCTCATCAACGCTCACCATTCTTCAGAGTCTTTGTAGGTAAGTTGCATTATTGCTCTTGATGTAGAAATGGTGAATAATTCTTTCCAAAGACCAAAGTTATTTTTTTTTTTTTTCAAAAATAATTCAATGGTTTAACCCAAAGGAATGTCGGTCTAATGTGAGGAATTGAGATGTTGTGGCAGGACTGTTGATTCTAGGGAGGGGACAGAGAGAGGATCTTTTATTGCTTCTCAGATCATATCCCAGTATAAGGTCAGCCTTGGGATTAGTGTTAGTTTTCAGCATAAGAATATCTTTAAAACGTTTTAAAGTGTTTTCTTTTACTCTTTTAAAAGCCCTTCCAAATGCCTACTACATTTTCCATGTTCCATTACTAATTCAGAGGTACAGTCATCCTCTTTTTCACCATACAGAACTTGACGGCTTCATTTCTGAGATATATGCAGGACATTATACTCTTCACTGCACTTCGTTTTTCTCTCTTAAACCCAAGAGTCACCATTCCAGGATAAGTTGTCATTTAAGTCGTGATTCATTTTATCCAGTTTTAGAGCTATATACAAATGTGTTCTGCCAGCGTTGTGGAATTTGCTGATAAGAAAATATTAAAATTATTTTGAAGGTTTTTTTCTTAAATCACATAGAAACTATTTAAATGTTGCAAATTCCTGTATATGTGAACATAGTCCTGTTAAAAGTAGGTCCCAGGGCTATAATGGGACCTATAGGTAATGTAAAACATACCATTTATTACACATTTTTCTCAGAAACATTAGACATCAATAGAAAGTAAGAAAACACTTCCAAATGTGTAACTTACGCTGTATGCTAACTATACTGGAAATAAAATTTAAAAATTTTTAAATGTATAACTTACATTACCTCTAGGTGAGTTAATGTTTTCTATATTAAATATACATTCAAAGATTATTTTAGCACTGCTGCTGTGTTTTTCAGTGAGATCAGAGTCTTAGAGTCAAATTATTCATGTTTGCTTCTTAACACTTCTTAGGAAAGGAAAATTTTAGTGATTAAGAGCACAGGTGGATTCTTGAGTCAGGGTGCCTGTGTTCATATCCCAACTCCCCCACGTACTAGCTCTGTGACCTTGGGAAAGTTATTGAAGCTCTTTGTGCCTTATTTTCCTCATCTATAAAACCACACAGCATTGTCGTGAGGATTAGTAAATTAATATATGCAAGGTGCTTGCGTACTTAGAATAGTGCATACAGTTTAGTATAATGTTATTATTATGTGTTCTTTTTAACTTAAAATGTTTACAATAGAGAATATAGCTAACTCTGTTAAATGCTGATCTGTGATCATTTTTTAGTCCCTAGTTGCGTAATTTGTGAATAATACTGATACCTAACCTAATTGTGTTCTTGTATCCCTGTGCAAATTCTTTTAGAAATTATTGAGCACCTGTTCTGTATCTATTACATATTTTTTACAATTTTTTTTTATTTTGTTTTTAACATTCATTTTGGTAAGACAGAGTGTGAGTAGGGGAGGGACAGAGAGAGAGGGAGACACAGCATCCAAAGCAGGCTCCAGGCTCTGAGTTGTCAATGCAGAGCTTGATGCGGGGCTCAAACTCACAAACTGTGAGATCATGACCTGAGCTGAAGTCTGACTCTTAACCAACTGAGCCACCCAGGCGCCTCAGTATTACATATTTTTTAAAGATACGATCTAATTCTCATCTAAATATTAGCTTAATGAGAAGACCAACCCGTGAACAATTTGAGAAATATGAGTATGTGTAAAAACTTGAAGATGACAAAGGACTAAAATGAATGATATTCTCAATAAACTCCATGGACAGAAAGAAATATCGATTAGTGTTGTAAAATACTAAGGAAGCCTTCAGAAAGGAGAGTGGACTCTTTTGAACAATTTGGAGAAAAGTGTCTATGGCATTTTAGGAAGGAGAAGGATATACTCTTAAGCCAACAAATCCAATTTGTATTTTCATTTTCTGGTTTATTATTCTAGGCTTTCTTTCTTGTTTCGTAAACCCATTCATACACACCCATACATTTCTTTCCTTAGCACATTTTACTCAGTTTATCAAAAACAGTTAAGAGCATTGTGTTTGGGTGTAACTCCTAACTGCTACATGATAACTTTTAACTTTAATTAAATTATTTTGATTCATTAGGCTTCATCCATAACATGAGCACAATAGTATCTGTTGAGATTATATAGGGAAAGAGCTTGGCAAAGTGCCTGACATCATATAGTGAATGCTTAATAAAATGTATATATATGTAAATAATATAAATATATGTGATAACATACATATATACACATATCATATATATATGTGTGTACGTATTTGTAAACTCTTTGTAGCAAGGAATAGAACTCTTGGCTGTTTTTCTTCTTTTCAATTTTTCTCTTTATTTTTCATCCTAAAATTCCTTCTCCGTATAAAACAAGAATTTCAGGAGGGACATTTGTAGTAAACCAGCATTAAAAAAGAAAAAATGTGGCAATCTTGGTCTTTCAAAGACACCTGAGGCAGAGACAGATTTTGCAGACTCTGTTTTAGGTCCTGAGGACAGGGACTATCGGAATTTTGGTGTCTTTTACAGTAAATAACCCAATGTTGTTATACCTTGTCTCCTAGTAGATTGAACATGCTACTAAAGTAAATTCACTCGAGGTAGGCTACGTAGAATGTTGCACAATTTCTTTAACACTTTGACGATCATTTTGTGAATTTGAGGAAATTGACCCACTGTTCTTTTGTTTGCCTTGTGTGGTGATGCTGGTGATGTGAATCAGGTTCCATGACTGCAGAGGTCTTCAGTTCTTACTTACAACACAAATGGAAGAGCTGAATAAATTCCAGAAGCTAGTAAGAGAGGCTGTAAAAAACCTGGAGGGACCTCCATCTCGTAATGTTATTGAATCAGCAACAATCTGCCACCTCCGACCAACCAGACTTCCTCTCAACTGGTAGGTGACAGGAGACGTCATGCAGTGAAATGGCATCACTCCATTATGCTAGCGTTCTTCTGAGAGAAAGAACAGTGGCTCATCTAATAAAAGTTTCTTCATTTAAATTCAGACAAAAGTGGAAAGAGATGTATTATTAATGTACTTTTTAAAAAATTCTCAAGAACCACATACTGAAAACTGTGTAATATTTTTTAACGTTTATTTTTGAGAGAGAGACGGGGTGGGGGGAGGGGGGCCCGGGCAGAGAGAGAGGGAGACACAGAATCTGAAGCATGACTGCGAGATCATGACCTGAGCTAAGTCGACTCTTAACCGACTGAGGCACCCAGGCGCTTCTGTAATTTTTTTTCTTAAATGGCCTATTTGTTGTAAAGAAAAAGTGAAATATAAAATACTAATAAGCCTCTTTTAGAAATTACCTTGTTGTTATGTTTGCAAGTATTTCTCTGATCATTTTTTTTCTTTTTCAGTTGTGTCTTTTGTAAGGCGGATGAATTGTTCACAGAGTATGAATCAAAGCTGTTTTCCCACACGTGAGTTCTCTGATTACCATCAGGAAAGTGAAACCATTATAAGACTTGGTGTTTCGATTTATAAGACTGTGTTTTCCTCATGGAACCTTCCTGTGTTTTTTTTTTTTCTTTAATTACATCAATTCAGTAAACTTTTGCATGTGATCATTTAACATGCTCAGTTTTACTTACATAAAAGTTGTTTCCAAATACTCATGTCATCTAATCATGTGTGATGGAGGGACAGTTTAGAGGAGTGACAGATTCTCAAGTCCAACACATTGTAACTCAGATCCCTCCCCACTATTGTGGGCGGATTACCTCTCTAAGCCTCAGTATCCTCATTCATGAAATGATAATAAAAACAACACTTACCTCATTGAGTTGTTTATGAATATTAAATTTAAAAATGCACATAATTGCTTAGCATAGTACATGGTAAGAGTTCTATAAAAGGTTAGTTTTCAATATACTTTCTCCAACACAAATTTGAAGTTTTCATCCCGTGTCAAGGATTAAGGTACCCAGTGAATCATAATAGCTATGGTATAGCAAAATTATTCCTATTTTACAAACAGAAATTGAGAAAAGGCTAAGTTCTGGTCACCTTAAATAAACAGATCAACAGTGTACTTTGAGATCATCTTATCATTTTGTTGTGTTTGTTTTTCCATGGTTGGTGGTGGTGGTAGTTTGTGTTTTATATTATGGTAATTCTCATAGCTAGATTTTAGCCTGAACTTTATATCCATTTTTTATGATGTCAGACTGCTGGTCAAGACACTGGACAAATTTATTATTATGCCTCCAGCGTTTTCAGAATTGCTGCAGTTTCCCAAAGACTTGAAGGCATGATCTTGTAGACATGATATTGAAAGTTATTGATGAAAAGTTATTGACCTTGCTACTCGATTGGCTCTGCCAGTAGGACTTTTACCATGCTCATTACCCACTGACAGTAGTTACTGTTGTTTTGCTCTCATTTGTTTTCAGAGTGAAAGGCCAGACTGCAATATTTGAGGAGATGATAGAAGATGAAGAAGGACTGGTGGATGATCGAATACCCACCACCAGCCGGGGTTTGTGGGCAGTAAGTGAGACAGAGCGATCTATGAAAGCATTGCTATCATTTGCAAAATCACATAGATTTGATGTTGAATTCATTGATGAAGGAAGTACTTCAATGGATCTTTTTGAAGCATGGAAAAAGGAATATAAGGTATAGTATTTTAATATTTTTTCCAATATTAAGAATTTTTCTTCTTTATATTATTACTATTTTTCTCTCTTCAGTTTTTAAAAATCTGCTTCAGAGACTTGAGGTATCATAATTTCTCTTTCCCTAAAATGTAATGGTTGTTATGAAGAATAATAAATACAATAGTACTGAACAAATAAGGAACTTCTATATATTAAATTACTAAAAGAAAGTCATTATTAAAATGAAATTGATATGAAGCCTTATAATTTAGCTGTGAAAGTGTTTCATTCTTCTTAGCTTGATCTTACACTGCAATTCTGTGAAAGTAGAGTTTTTTGTTTTTTTGCTGTTTTGTTTTGCTTTTGCTCTGTGAGTAATAACCAAACGCCAATAATTTCGAAGATTGAGGAACACAGTAAATATTTCTCACCCTACACCACTGGAAACTGTTGCAGTTGATAAAGTAGAAAGTGACCCTTTATGTTTATATTTTGATAATTTTGTCATATTACAACTTTGCTTGAAATGAGATTCCAAAATTCATTGATTTTGAATTATTCTTTATATTTGGATTTGTTATCCATTATCCTGCTTTGAAGGTGAAATCTGTGAGGAAATGAAAGAACAGTTTTATTTATAATATTATAATTCCTTTTATATATTTCTTTAAAAATCTGAAGGTCTTGACTTTTAAAGCAAGATAATAATTTCTATCCAGAAAGAGAAAATATGTTGTCTGTAATATCATTTCATATGTTTGGTAAATTGGGGGATAATACCTTTATAGTTGAAATCATTGATTCATAGTAAATTGTTTCTTCTCACATTACTATTCTAAATGCAAAAGCACATTAACATAGTTAATTATAGCAAGTGATCGGAAGAAGACAGTACTCTGTACAGTATCCAATTGCCCCTGCATTTTTCCTCTGCGCTTGTTTTGATGACCTCCTATGTCTGTTTTCTCAGATCTTTGTGAATTTTTTCTCTGTAACACTGCAGACTGAACTCTCGTACAGCAATGCAAATTAATAAGCTACTGTTATACACGTCAGTTGGGGTCTACCTCAAAGCATAATGTTAGTGAAGAAAGCATATCAAAGATTTTACACTGATACATTTCCATAAATTTGAGAAAAATGTATAACCAAATTATTAAGAATGCGTAGATTAGTATAGCTCCAGTGAAAAGTACAGAAGAGGGAGTCCAGTTCAGAACAGTGGTTAGTCCACTGTAGGGGTGAGGGAAGAATATGTGAGGGAAGAGTGATACAGTTGGGGAGGAGCACAGAGGCTCACCAAGGCATTGGTATTGCTCTTTCTTAAATCGGATGTTGAGTACTCAGTTGTGTGTGTATTTTAGTAGTCTCATTATCTCATATATATATATATATATACACACACACACACACATATATATGTATATACATATATATATATGATTTTGAAAATGTGAAATAGTTTATAATAAAAATATTTCTTAAAAAAATAAAGATTCCACCAGGCTAACAATGACCTACGAAGATCTATGGTGCCACCATGATATCTTTGGGTGTTCTGTTTCTAAGATTCTAAAGACACCGTATTATTCTGTGGCCTATGGAGGTTATTCGTCATATGTCCTCATCTTAAAAAATGGCCCCAAAATTGCTTGTGTCTTAGACACAACTTAACGAAAAAATGTGTATGTCTTAGACTTCACTGAAGACTTTTGATCATGGCACTTTTCGGTGGTTTTAACCAATCTTAATTATGTGCATTAAATACCACTGTCTTTGTGTTTTCTTTCAGTTGCTTCATGAATATTGGATGGCTCTAAGGAATCGTGTATCTGCTATTGATGAACTTGCAATGGCTACAGAACGACTGAGAGTACGTCATCCTAGGGAGCCAAAGCCCAACCCACCTGTTCTTCATATCATTGAACCACATGAGGTAATTTGCAAGTAAATCACAGAAAAGAGCACAGCCAATAAGTGTCACAAAAATCCAAGGCCCATAGAAGAGAGAGTCAAGGCAGTGATCTCTTCTTTAAGAATGCGTTTAATCTCTGTTCTTAGTTTAAACCATATAAAAGTGATTGGTTTTGTAGGTTAAAAAAGACAAGGAGAGAAATATCCTATCTAACATATGCGTAGAATTTACTATTTTGGTTTGTTTGTTTCTCTCCAGATTGCATATTTGTGTTTTTTTGAGCACCTTCTGTATGTCAGAATCTTAAGGTGGTCTCAGTCAGTTTTTAGACCTGTGTTCTTGCCTCAGTTTTTTCAGAAATAGAAAAAGCTTCTGTAAGAACAATCAAAAACTTTTCTTTTGCGGGGCCCCGGGGTGGTTCAGTCAGTTAAGCGTGCAGCTTCAGCTTAAGTCTTGATATCATGGTTCGTGAGTTCAAGCCCACCATCAGACTTTCTGCTGTTAGCACAGAACCCGCTTCAGATCTTCGGTCTGCCTGTCTCTTTTCCCGTTCCCTGCTCACATGTGTGCAGGCGTGCGCACATGCATATGCGCTTTCTCAAAAATAAATGAACATTTAAAAAAAAACCTCTTTTTGCAATTTTCCTTTGTTAATGATGAACAGATAGTAATAACTTATCTTCTAATAAATCTCTCTTTATATCCCAGGAATAAAAAAATGACTCTTCCAACCTTTTCTCTCCCATATTTAAAATACTATTTCCTTTATAATTTTATTTCTTGTATGTGTTTTATCTTTTAAATCTTTTTGCTTTTCTAAAGCTTGGAGACTATACCTTAGTTAAACTTAGAAATACTCATTTTGTTCTGTGTCAGCCTTTAAACCATGAATTGTAATTTTTTCCTGTGTAACCAAATTCCTCTTATTTTTATAATCTTCTGTCTGCTATTTTCTGCTGGGCAAAAGAAGGACGGGGTGGCGGTGGGGATATGAGTGTGTGTGTGTGCAGGGAGAGGCTGCCTGGGTTTCATAAAATTGCTCTGACCAGAGCAGCAAATCACTTAGTTTTTCTTTATCTCATGGGTATTACTGAAAAATGGTACATAAATAGAATTTGGGTTGATTTTTATCCAACTTCAAGTTTATGGGGAAACTTCGTATTTATTGAAGTTTGTCTTCTGTAGAGCAACATATATATAGAGAGAGATGCCCTTTTGAAATATCTAGTATCCGTTTTTGCAAATTTGAGTTTTCATATGTCAATGGATTTGCTTAAATAGGACACCCTTAAATTACTGAGGAAGAATTGTGCATGTTTAATAGAATAAAATCTTTCTAAGAGACAGTAAAGAAGTTGTTTTGTTGTTGTTTTTTTTTAGGTAGAACAAAATCGTATAAAACTACTAAATGATAAAGCTGTTGCTACATCACAACTTCAGAAGAAACTTGGGCAGCTTCTTTACCTAACTAACTTGGAGAAGGTATTGTGTTTAAAAGATGCTACTTTTTCCCATGCTGTATACCTGTAAACCTTAGTGACTCTTTCCTTTTAATCTGTTAGTCCCACAATTAATGGTACAGCATTTTGTTTATAATCAGTCTTTTTTGTGTGTGTTAATTGTATCAGAACACAAGTTATATCTACACTAGCTACACAGATCACAACAGATGATATTGTGTTATACAGATTCTATAAAGGATGTGTACTGTAGAGTATAGAAGAATGTAAACAGATTGTAGTTCAAAACCTTGAATAGTGGAAGTATTACAACATACCTCTAGGCAAAGATTACATTGTATAATCTCTCTCCCTCTCCTCTTTTTCTCTCTCTCTATATATATCTATATATATATGTCTATATATAGATGTATATATATGTCTATATATAGGTATATATACACACACGCATTCCTTAATACATAAATAGATTTTTAATTTGTTATTTGGAGTTATAAAATGTTTGGAAGGCTACTAAATCAGAAAATATAACAATGAATTATTTAATGTAATTCAAAACACATTTTCTGAGTTGTGAGCAACATACTGTGTTGGACATTGATGAATGTAATTCCATTTGATTGTGAGAATAAATAGCTTTTGACAGTACCTTCCAGAAAGAGATACAATAGATTTTTGGATAGGACAAGTGAAGGAAAGCAGTAGACTAGAGTTGGTCCTGAAAACTGATACAAAATACATTTAAGTGGATCTGTAAATCCCAGTGGTGATAAAATGAAAAGCTGAACATTCATTATAAGTAAAACAGCACGGTGGCTAAGAAGATAGTCTTGGGATCCAGACAGTTCAGGTTTGGTTCTTGACAGCACTATTTTCTACATGTAGGTCTTTAAGTTATTTACCTCACTTTGCCCCATCGTAAAATGAGAATAATAACATTATCTTGCAGGACTTTCTTGAGGACTGTGTAAATTAATATAGGAAGAGTGCTAGAGCAGTTCCTAATTTATTAAGCACTTACTAGGTCTTTGCTATTAATATTATTATATTATTACTAATATTACTATGATGACTGCTGTTATCCTGGCAGGAGAAAAAAGATGGGAGAAAACTTAAAAGTCGGTCTCATGCAAAATGCTAGCACTAGAGAAATAACATTTGGAAAAAATTTCTTCTTGTTCCTAAATGTGAGTTTTTTTAATGTTAGATTTCTACACTTTACATGTGAAAGTCAAAACAAAGAAATAGGTAATTGTTAGTTATAGGATATAAATCAGGATATCGATTTGTTGAATGGGTTTTTTTTAATTAAAGTTCTAAGTAAGAGTATATAATCTGCCTAGAAAACCCAATTCAGCTAATAATATAAGAAAAAAACATTTAATCTGTAAGTGAAGGAAAATCAAATTAAGCTCATACCATTTCCTGCCACCAAATAGGGAAAGATTTTTAAAATAACATTCCACAGGGGCGCCTGAATGGCTCAGTGGGGTAAGTGTCAGCTCTCGGTTTTGGCTCAGGTCATGATCTCATGACTCATGAGTTCAAGCCCTACATCGAGCTCTGTGCTGCCAGCACACAGCCTGCTTGAGATTCTCTGTCTCCCTTTCTCTCTGCCTGTCCCCCACTCATGCTCTTTCTTGGTCTCTCTCAAAAATAAATAAACCAAAAAAAAATCTTTAACACTCCACAGTGGTGAAAGGGCAGTGAATGGATATTTTGTGTATTACCAATGGGAATATAAATTTATATAGCCCTTTCCCGAAAATACTTGGACATATATTAACAATTTTAGATAATTCATATCTTTTGACTCAGTAATTCTTAGAACTTTTCCTGAAACAGAAATTTGGGGGGTAAATTAGATATGAGGATATTTATTACAACATTATACTCGCTCTCTCTCTCAAAATAAGAAAGTTGAGAGAAAAAAATAACAAAATTAAACAAAAAATAAAACTATAAATGGAGTATAATCCCAATTTTATGTGACTGTGTTGAGTTAAAGTAAATAAAAATAGTAAACTAAACAAATTTTCAAAATTTTCTGGCAGTCAGCAGGGACTTAACTGAGCACCATTTAACGTATATGCATTATAGTAGGAGTTTGAGATAGACAGAGTTGGTCCTTGGCCTCAAGGAACTTAATGTGATTTGATGTAATTTGATGTAGACAGATCATAAGCACTGATCAAATAGTGATTTAAGAAGATGTTAGTTAGCAAGTCAACTAAACTTGGGAAATAAAATATAAATTAATCACTTAAAGCAGAGCGGTATACATTTAAGAGCTCTGAAGAAATTTAAAGATGAACGTGTTACACTGTTGATCAGCAGTTTTCAGTATCAAGTAAGAGAAAACTGGTAAATTTCCAGTAAGATTTCAAAGCATAAAGAAGGTCTCCAGTACATAAATATTGAGTCACTGTGTTGTACACCTGAAATTAATATGTGTCAACTATCTCAGTTAAAAAAATAAGTTGTTCAGAAGAAATTTTCTGAATACTAAGCAACCACATGATATCTTTAATACTCTATTTATTTGAGGACTGCTACTTCTATATGGGAATAGCAGTGATGTCTTGCCATTACCTTAGTAACATTTTGTTTTTAAAGACAGTAGAGACCTATAGAAGCAAAAAGGTTGAGTGAAATGACGTTCTAGGAAAGGAAGAGCTCTTTCTAGGTTAGCTGAGATTGCTGGCCATTGTCTTGCCTGAAAACATTTGCCATACCTGGGTACAGACTGAGATTAAGGTCAGTATTGCAGAGGGACTCAAACAGGAGAAAGAGAAATCAGTAGTACTTTTGATGGCCAGGTGAGTTAGTATTATATTTTGAACCTAGAGGAGCCTCAGATGCACAACAAACTTTACTCGTTTGCTAAGTGACACTTGACAGTTAGGCCTGAAGTAGAAATACACAGTGAAATCTTAGTTTCACAGCACTCAGGAAACAGTTCGTCCCCAAGAGAGCAAGGAGCCAACAATGAACATAACAGGTCTTAACCACTGAGACATTTGAAACCATAGTGGCCTGCGTTTTTAACTAAACTTAAAACAGATCCCCAAAACCAGCTCAGTTTTTTATTGGATTGAGTAGCCACTCACCCCTTAACCTAACTACCTACTGGGGGAGGGGTAATCCCTGTGAAGGAAAATAACATCTAATTTTGTCAGTTTGTTGTATGTCAGTTTGTTGTATATAAACAAACTAGGAAATGTAGCACACAATAAGAATTTCCAAGAAATGTGCAAGGCAGGAGAATGTGACCAGTAATTAAAAGGTAATAAGTGGTGGGGCGCCTGGGTGGCGCAGTCGGTTAAGCGTCCGACTTCAGCCAGGTCACGATCTCGCGGTCCGTGAGTTCGAGCCCCGCATCAGGCTCTGGGCTGATGGCTCAGAGCCTGGAGCCTGTTTCCGATTCTGTGTCTCCCTCTCTCTCTGCTCCTCCCCCGTTCATGCTCTGTCTCTCTCTGTCCCAAAAATAAATAAACGTTGAAAAAAAAAAAAATTTAAAAGGTAATAAGTGGACAGTCAGAGCAGATCTATAAATAATCCAGATTGTGGACATAGCAGGAAAGGACTTTAAAGTAATTATGATTAATACATTAAAGAGAGGAAAAGCTAGACAACATAGATAAAATGAACTGGAATATATACAGTAGAATCAAATGGACATTTTGGAATGGCAAAATCCAGTACCTGAAATTAAAAACTCGTTGGATGGTGACCAGACACAAAATGACAGAAGTAGTGAAATCAAGTATTGTTCAACCAATAATACCCAGTTTGAAGAAGCATATAAATAAAAGTAAAGAGCAGCATAAAGTGAAAGATGTGGGACACAAGTCATATGATTGGCATACATGTAATTGAAGCTCCAGGAGAGAAAGAGATAAAATGGTACTAGAGCAACGTGAAGAAATAATGGCTAAGAATTTTCCAAAACTGAAAGATAATATGGTAATATCTTACAGATTCAAGAAGCTCAGAAAACCCCAAACAGAATAAATAATTTTTTAAACACCTACAAGTATCCTAATCAATCTGCCAGAAACCAAAAAATAATGAAAAAAAAACAAAAAAACAAAAAAAAACTAAGCAACTAGAACTGGGAGAAAAAAAGAATAATACTTCCAAAGTAGCACCATAAAAATGGTGACTGTATACCTTCTCCTTGTTGACTACACAGGGAAACTTTTCTTTTAGCATTTTAAAGATGTCATTCCACTGTTACCACGTTTCCATAGCTTTGCTGTGTAAACATAACAGTGGAAGAACATCTTTAAAATACTGTTTTAAAAAGTGAAACAAAGGGGTGCCTGGGTACCTCATTGGGTTAAGCATCCGACTTCGGCTCAGGTCATGATCTCACAGTTTGTGAGTTTGAGCCCCGTGTCGGCTCTGTGCTGACAGCTTGGAGCCTGGAACCTGCTTCAGATTCTGTGTCTTCGTCTTTCTCTGACCTTACTCCACTTGTGCTCTGTCTCTCTCTGTCTCTCAAAGATAAATAAATGTAAAAAAAAAAAAAAAAAAAAAAAAAAAAAAAAAAAAAAAAAATTATGTTAAGTAAACAAAAAGTAAAAGAAAGATGTTTCTAGATAAAGACTGAAAGAACTCCTTCCCAGTAGACTCACACCACAACCAATATTAAAGGGAGTTCTTTGGACTGAAGGGAAATTATCCCAGTTTGAAGGGAACTACAGGAAGGAACACAGGTTAAGAGTAAGCATAAATATGTAGGTAAATAAAAAAGAATATTGACTCTGCAAAGCAATAGTACTGTTGTATAGGATATACATCATATACAGAACTCTGAAAGCTATAACTGTAACACAGAGGAAGAAGGTAAGCAGAGCTAAACTATTACAAGATTCTTCCATATGTTAGAAAAATGGACAAAAAAGTCAGTAAGGATATCTAACATTTGAACACTGAACAACCATGACCTAAATGACACAGACCAGTAATACCCAGCAAATACAAAATACACTTTTCTTAGGAGTACATGGAACACTCACCAGAATAGACCTTCTGCTGATTCAAAGAACAACTCTTAAGATTCTTAAAGGATTAAGATTATACAAGATTATGTTTTCTAACTAAAGAGGAATTAAACTAGAAATCAATATGGAAAGATAACCAGGTAAAGAACCAAATATTCAGAGATTAACAACACACTCCTAAATAACCCGTGAGTTAAATAGGTCACAATGGAAATTAGAAAACGTTCTGAACAAAAATAAAAATTAAAAATTATGGGGGCGCCTGGGTGGCTCAGTCGGTTGGGCGTCCGACTTCAGCTCAGGTCACGATCTCACGGTCCGTGAGTTCGAGCCCCGCGTCGGGCTCTGGGCTGATGGCTCAGAGCCTGGAGCCTGTTTCCGATTCTGTGTCTCCCTCTCTCTCTCTGCCCCTCCCCCGTTCCTGCTCTGTCTCTCTCTGTCCCAAAAATAAATAAACGTTAAAAAAAAAAAAATTTTTTTTTTTTTTTTAAAAATTATGTGACAATGTGCAGCTAAGGTGTGCTTAGAGGAAATTTATAACTTTAAGTCAGGATCTGCAAAGTACCATACGTGGGACAAATCCAGCTCACTACCTGTTTTGTAAATAAAGTTTTGTTGCAACCCAGCCACACTCGTTCCTTTACATATTGTTTATGGCTGCTTCATGCTACAATAGCAGAGTTGAGTAGTTGCAACAGAAACCACATGGCCACGAAGCCTACAGTATTTACACCCAGGCCCTTTTTCTTTTTTTAGAGGGAGAAGGATCATGCATGAGAGGGGGAGAGGGGCAGAGAGAAAGAGAGAATCTTAAGCAGGCTCCACGCTCAGTGCAGAGAGTGATGCAGGGCTCAATCCCACAACCCTGGGATCATGACCTAAGCCAAAATCAAGAGTCAGACGCTCAACCAGCTGAACCAACCAGGCCCTTTATGGAAAAACAGTAATCGTACTTCAAATCTAAAGAGAAGAGATGTTGTAAATTATGATAAATTATTTACAGAATGCTACATAATGCCCTTTATTATATGCATGCCTGTGGATAAACTCCCACACTGACTTTTGGCCATGTGACACAAGCGTAGAGATTTGCAAAGTATGTGCACATTAGAGTTTTCCCAACCTTGTTGCTCTTTGGAACTCTGAATCTATGTGAAGCAGCACAAGTTATCTTTCTTGAGGAGCAGAAACCTCAGCTCAGCCCTCTCCCCAGACTAGCTAGTCTTCTGGCTTCTAGACATCAACATGGCGACATAGTGCACCATCCAGTCCCAGAGCACACAGGTGACCTATGGAATCATGAGAAGTTCATGTTTGTTTTAGCCGCTCAGATTTTAGGTGGTTGGTTATATGTTATCTGAAACCAAAATCAACAAATAGAAAAAAAGAATAATTCAGCTTGTTAAAAAAATACTTATATTTAAGTTAAAGGAATTGTTTTGAACACATTCAGTTGCTGAATCTATGCACAATTTACCTTTTTTTTTTAACTACTTGCAAAAGTCAAAGGATAATCAAAAATAATTTTTTTTTTAATGTTTATTTGGTCAGTGAAACCACAGACTTACAACTTCACTGATCTGTGAGTCATTTACTTTCTTTTATGGTTTCCTCAGCATTAAAACCTGACAATTTGATGACCTTTTTGAAGCTCAAAAATTTTTGAAATAGTTATAAAGAGATTTTGAAGAGAACTATTATACTTCAGTATAATTTCCAGGCGAAATAAGTCTCAAATCAAAAATATTTTGCTTTGCCCTAATGAGATTACAAAAGATACTGAAAAGAAACCTAAGGAGACCTGTAAATAAATGCTGCCTCTTCCCAAGTCTATGATCACAAACCCAGTGGATGTACAGAATAAATACTATCTTTCCAGTTTTTAAGGAGCCTTTATCTCAGAATTCCAAATTACATTTTTTAAAATAATACATATTTATTTATAACAAAATTTAGCTTGAAAATAAAATTTTGAGAATTTACCTTTTATATCACATTGTGCTTTTCATTTTGCCTGCTATAATAGTCACATATATAGTAATATGATAACTTTTAACAAACTTTAATGCAATTTATTTCCTTTTTGTTGTTGTTGTTGTTGTTGTTCCTTGAATGTTATTTGTAAAACCTGGGAATATTAGTATTAAGTAATTTTTTTTTAATGTTTATTTATTTTTGAGAGAGAGAGTGTGAGCTAGGGAGGAGCAGAGAGGGAGAGAGAGAGACAGAATCTGAAGCAGTCTGCAGGCTCTAAGCCGTCAGCACAGAGCCTGACACGGGGTTTGAACTCAGGAACCCTGAGATCATGACCTGTGCTGAAGTCAGTGCTCACCCACTGCACCAGTGCACTGAGCCACCCAGGCACCTATAATAATATATTATTAAATCACCTTAATTACTGGATTGTTTAAAAAAAATTTTTTTTCAACGTTTATTTATTTTTGGGACAGAGAGAGACACAGCATGAACAGGGGAGGGGCAGAGAGAGAGGGAGACACAGAATCGGAAACAGGCTCCAGGCTCTGAGCCATCAGCCCAGAGCCCGACGCGGGGCTCGAACCCACGGACCGCGAGATCGTGACCTGGCTGAAGTCGGACGCTTAACCGACTGCGCCACCCAGGCGCCCCAATTACTGGATTGTTTAAATAGAAATTGCCAGCATCTACTTTTATAAATGAATTATAAAATGCATATCAGGTTTTAAAATGCAACTAACCTAGTTTTTATTTTTTTGAACAGTCTCAAGATAAAACATCAGGAGGCATTAATCCAGAACCTTGTCCAATTTGTGCTCGGCAGCTGGGAAAACAGGTGAAATAATAAATATCATATGCATTTATAAAACACTTTACACTTTCAAAGGCATTTACCTACAATCTCTCTTTTTTTCTCATAACACTTTTACGTCCAAGGCAAAAATTCCCTCCATCTTAAGATAGGGCCAAAGGTTAGGTGATAAGCTTTAGTGCTACATATGCTTGAGCAGTGTTCCTCCTTAAGTGATAGGTAAAAACATGTTTCTAGAATAACCCCACGTTTTTCGTTAAAGGTGCATAGTTTTGCTTATTGTTTCCAGTCACAAGATCAAGTCTAAGTAATTTGACTTTGTCAGTTTAACATGTTTATTTGGTAATCATACAGAAATATAGCATATATAGATTTACGTAAGGTATTACAAGGGTATAGTAACATGGCATTTACTTGGGATTATTAATATCTAGTAATACCAGGCTTTAAAGTATAAATAATATCTCTCCTGGGGGAATTTAGATGTGATTTTTACAAGCCTATTATGTCAGTTAAGAATATTTCTTTTTGAATGTTGGTGTACAAATGTCTATAAACTTAATGGCACCGTATTAGCTTTCCTCAGATTCTTTTATCCTACCAACTGTGATTTTTGAAAGTATAAATTTCTACTTTGTATGATAAATCAATGTATACAATATTAATTTTAATTGCTCCTCAAAATTTGAAATGAGTAAAAGTATTCTTGGCTGTTTTTTCTATGAACTGAGAGTAGAAAGTTAACTATATGAGCTCCACATTCTGACCACCAATAATCAGGAAAAAAAGTACCTTTTAGTTTACACAAGTTATGCAGAAAGTGAGATTTTTTTAAAGGACATTTTATTGATAATAAATCTTAAATAGATAGATGCTACTTCGGAAACTGAGACTAGAAATGTACAGACCCTGGTGATTTCTGAGAAAAGTCACTGGTGAAAATGTGATAAAAGTGATAAAAATGGAAAGAATCATGATGTAAGTAGTATCTTTTTTACTTTTAGTTTTGATGAGATTCATGCAACTGGATGAATCAGAAATTTTGTTTAATTTATGTCTTAAACATTTCCAGTTTTTAAAGTTCTTTCATATACATTATTTCATTAATTTTAGTACAGCCCATATTGTAGTATAAGCTGTATTTCCTACATTTAGGAGAACATTCTGGATTATAATAAGAGTAACAAAACTTTACTTTTTTAACTCTTTTCCTAGCCACAATCTGTAGGAAATCTAGATTAGCTTCCTGGTTCTCCTGTTCCCCTCCTGATTTAGAGAATCGGTCAGAGATAACTGGCTATCCAGATAATCTTTGGTTATCCAGAGATAATCCCTGGAGCCATTGCCAATTGTCTGGTCTTGGGTTTGGGCTGGTTCAGTCAACTTCCAGTCACCCCTGAGGCCCCAGCGCCAGGTGTCTCTGGGTTCTCCTGATTTGCAGATATAGGTGAATTTGTCTTGTTCAGCTGTTCATACGAAGCTGTCATGAGCCACAAAAGCTCTCTTATTGGAGGAAGTGCCCTTCACCCCCACTGGCAGTGGAGGCACACAGGCACAGCAGAGTGCTGCTGTGTCTACAGAAATGCGCATGAAACAGCTCTTTAATTTTACTGAAGCTTCAACTCCTGACGAATGACACGAGTCCCTGAGAGCACGTGTGCAGCTGAACAACGGCATGAACAGCATCAGCCAGTAAAGCCCCAAACAGCCCCTCCCCCTTGGCAAAAACTATTTTAAAAACAAGTTGATATGCCTCATTTTTCTCTTCCCTGACTGTGAATTCTTTCCTAAGGGGCTTCTTAGTCTGTCCTGCAAAATTCCTCAGGTGGACCCACCCATGCACCTTCTTTCCATGCACGTCCATATGTGTCCAAACCCTAGAAAAATACAGCTTAGTGCTTAGGGACCTAGTCACTCATAACACTGCTCAGTTGTTGTTGTTCACCAGGGGAGAAAGTTAAATAACTTGCATAAGATGTACAGCTTTCAGAACTGACATCTCACCTAAAGCCAATAGACTTCTGCATCCCTCATGGTGTCTCCATGGTATATTCCAAGAGTCAGAATTATTGTACTTTTCTTGAAATAGGGCAAAGGGGTATCAAAAATGTCTTTTTATTTATTTATTACATTTTTTTAATGTATCCAGAACCACTTTTATTTTATTTTTTAAATGTTTTCTTTATTTTTGAGAACGTACAAGTGGGGAGGGGCAGAGAGAGAGAGAAAGGGACAGAGGATCTGACGTAGGCTCTGCACTGACAGCAGAGAGCCCCATGTGGGACTTGAACTCACGAGCTGCGAGATCATGACCTGAGCCAAAGTCGGATGCTCAACCAACTGAGCCACCCAGGTGCCCCCCAGAACTGCTTTTAAAATAAATGTGAGTGGGGCGCCTGGGTGGCGCAGTCGGTTAAGCGTCCGACTTCAGCCGGGTCACGATCTCGCGGTCCGTGAGTTCGAGCCCCACGTCAGGCTCTGGGCTGATGGCTCAGAACCTGGAGCCTGTTTCCGATTCTGTGTCTCCCTCTCTCTGCCCCTCCCCCGTTCATGCTCTGTCTCTCTCTGTCCCAAAAATAAATAAACGTTAAAATAAATGTGAGATACTAGCCCATCTCATTATCAATATAATGATTACTGTAACATGTGAAGTTGTAAATCCATTTAATGAGTTATATAGAATATACTGATGATGATATTATCTCCAAATTAATGTTGTTCTCAGTCCTTCCATCATATCTGCTGTTACAGTGCTAAAAGAGTAATTTGCAGAGGCGCCTGGGTGGCTCAGATGGTTAAGCGTCCAACTTTGGCTCAGGTCATAATCTCACAGCTCGTGAGTTCAAGCCCCACATGGGGCTCTGTGCTAACAGCTCAGAGCCTAGAGCCTGCTTCCAGTTCTGTGTCTCCCTCTCTCTCTCTCTGCCCCTCTCCCGCACTGTTTCTCTCAAAAATAAATAAACATTTTAAAAAAATTTTTAAGAGTAATTTGCATTCTTCCTAAATACCGAAATGAGAACACCAACTTAGAAAATAATGGTTGACTGGCTGTTATGCTCACAGTTAGTGTGAGTGGAACTAAAGACTATGGAAGCTTACTCTTGTTGGACGAAAAAATAGTTAATTTTAAAGTACAACTTAGCGTTTATGACTTAAAGAATATTAATGTCCTGAAACATTTAGGAAGTGAAATGACTCCCTTCTCCTTTTAATATGTGTATACACTGGAAGACATCTTTGACAGCATCTCACTGAGGTATGTTCTGTGTGTTTTCTTTTCCAGTGGGCAGTACTGACCTGTGGACACTGCTTCTGTAATGAATGCGTTTCAATTATTATTGAACAGTACAGCGTAGGGTCTCACAGAAGCTCCATTAAGTGTGCCATCTGCCGCCAGACCACATCTCACAAAGAAATCTCGTACGTCTTCACCTCAGAGAAAGCCAGCCAGGAAGAGGACATCCCTGTGAAGGTACAGTAGGTTAAGAACGTGTAGAAGCATAGTCAGAGCAATGTAATAGGAATCCGTAACTAGCAGTGAGAGCATCAAAATCAGAACAAGGCTGGCACAGTGACTATGTGGAAACCACTGTTCCTGTCCGTAGGAACACTGCCCAAAAGCCTCAGCTTTACCATCTTTCCTTTCTGTGTGGGAGAAACACAAGAACACTTTCAAACATGGCTGGCCATCATCAGGTCCACTGTGGCAAGCAAGTAACATTTTAGAATTTCAGTTCTCCATCATCTTCAATAATATTTCTGTCTACTACAAATATAGCTCTGATTAAATTAGAGATTTACTTAAAGAAAGCTTCTTCCTCATTCTTTCATTTACCCTAGATAGCAGGGAAAAGGGGTGAGCCCAACCTAATTGGAAGAAAAAATACAGTGGTTGCTAAAATTAAGACTCTCACAAGAAGGAGATAGTATACTTTTTTTTTCTTTTTCATGTTTATTTACTTATTGGGGGGCAGGGGTGGGCAGAGGGGGAGAGAGAGAATCCCAAACAGGCTCCTTGCTCAGTGCAGAGCCCAATGCCAGGCTCGATCCCACGACCCTTGATCATGGAAGCCTGTTGGGGGCTCAGTCGTGACTTGAGCCAAAATCAGGAGTCAGATGTTTAACCGACTGAGCCACTCAGGTAACCCAAAAGGGAGATAGTATACTTTCAAATGACATGGATTGGTATTTCATGATATAGCCAAAACTTGGCTTTATTTTCCTAATTTCTCCCATGCTTCATCTAAAATTTTAAGAAAGTGACTAGAATTTGAAATCCAAATAGGATCTGTACTTGGATTTTCTGTCTAAGGGGCATCTATTTGGTAACAAACCTTTACTAGAATTCTTTGTTCTTTGTCTTCCTTAAACATGCTTTTTTTTCCTCCCTAACCAAACTTAGACAAAGAACAAATCAATATATGATTGTAGCAGGGAATAGGGGCCTGAAGGAGTAGTTGAGAGTTAAAAATCCTTATTTTTAAGGATTGTATTTTTTGAAGAAAATTAACTACAGGTTGAAACTATCAGGAGTTAGGCAGGTGATAGGATTCCGCCACGTGAAAAAAGTGTGGTTGAATTGAAGAATATGTAATTGCTGTTTATTCCTACTATTATTTGAGTAAAACCTGAAAATGTCAGTCACATTGCTCTCTAGTGTGTTGAGATAAGCAGAATCCCGACGTTGAAATGAACTTCCTTTCATTCATTCATTGATTCATTCATTCATACCATATGTGTTTATTGGATACATTGTGTGTGCCAGGCAGTGTACTGAGCCTCACTGATACAAAGTACATTTCTGAATAAAACGGACATGATTGCTGCCCCCGTGGATTTTACAGTTTGGCAATGTTGGGGAAGGAATTTGAGTTGGAGCAGGAAGCACAGACAGTACACAGATAATATATTAGAATCATGATCAGCCCTACAAAAGAAAATCAAACCTGGCTCCTCTGAGGGAATGACAGTTAAATAGATGTCCAAAGAATGAATGAATGAACCCAGCTGGGGTGAGGAGAGAAGTGAATTAGTGGGGAGGAGGCTGCAGCCAGAAAGAAACCAGCAAAAAACAATACATAGAACGTCTATACACAGAATTCTATACATAGAATACATAGAATGTCTGAGACAAGAAGGAACTCGGTGGAAGTCAGTGGCTGCAGTGTAGAAGGCACAAGGGACAATTGAATGAAATGCGTCTGGAAACCAAAAAGGGGCCAGAGGCTGAGGGGCCATCTGAAGATTTGAGAATTTTCTTTTCATATGAACAGAAAGGCATTACATGTTATAAGCAGAGAAGTATCATGATTAGATTGGAATCTTTAAAAGATCCCTTTCCTTGTAGTGTGGAAATTAGATTAGCAGGAATAAAAAAGAATGAAAAAACTTTGGAGAGACCGGTTCAGGAGGCTGTGGCAGTAGCCGTGGTGGCTTTGATTAGGTTTCTGGTCGTGGAGACAGAAGGAAGCAGATCTAGTCATGAGATATTTAAAGTAAGGTGAATGGTAAGGTAGAATGCTGGAGGAGTTGATGAGGCAGACTTTGTAGGTGACCCCCTGGTTTCTGAAGTCAAAAATCAGGTGGATAATAAGTAGTACAGTTGCCAGTAGATGGTATTTGGAAGAAGGTATATTTAAACATGCTGTGTTTGAAATGCCTAAGATACTCAAGTACAGCTGTGCAGCACAGCCACTGGCATAAGTGATGTTGGAGGCTGTGGAAGTGGATGAGATTACCCGAGAAGAGACACAGAAGTTAGCTTCAGACCAGGTCCCGTAGGACTCCAGGGCTGTTTGAAAGTTGAGTAAAAGGGGAGGAGCAGAAAAGGAGACCAGGAAGGAACAGCTGGGGCCATGGGCAGCTGAGGAGCATATGCTGTCCACAGAGGCCACAGGAGGACTGCCTCAGTGAGGAGGCAGCTATCAGCTGTATCAGTGATGTTGAAGGGGCTCAGCCACTGGGGACCATTTTGGCTAATGAAGGGCATTGACAACCTCAGAAGGAGCTCTTTCCCTGGAAACGTAGAGGCAGAAAACTGTTTAGGAGGGAATGAGGAGTGAACAAAAAATGAGTAATAGAGAAAATGCCCAGATATTTTATAATAAATTTAGCTATGAGGTAGAAAAGAGAGAATTATAACCAGCAGGAGATACAAAGTGCAGAAAGGGGGGTTGTTTTGTTTTAGGGTTTTTTGGGGTTTTTTTAAGATAAATGTTCTGGAGTATGTTTAATCTGTGGCAAAGAAGGATAGTTTGAAGATATAAGAGAGAGAAGGGATAATCTGCAGTGTAAGTTTCTTGAAAAGACAGTGTTGACATAAAGAGAAAGTGGAAATCCCACTGAAATCAAATAACAGAGAGGTTGGGCTACTGAGCAAATAAGCTGTAAGGGCACTTGTCAGAGGATGGGATATTTTAGTCATTTCAGAAAGCACAGGTATTCAGTACTCCAGATGTGGCTGCAGAAGTAGGTGACCCAAGTGAGGTGGAGGAGAAAAGGTGCTAGAAAGGAAGAGGTAACTTGAATGTTGAAGGGTTGTCCACGTGGACAGTGTACCCTATCTAGAGCTGAGGTATAGAGTTAACGATTTTGAGATAGGCCGCCGAATCCTTTCGTGAATGAGAGATAGTGTTCAGTAAATGATGGCAGCAAAGGGTAGAATTAGGGGATAACTGGGCTTCATGAGGCCCAAAAGAATGGAAATTTTTACAAAAGTGAGAGAGAATGATCTGAAACCTGCATCAGGGACCAGAGGATACCAGAGCTCGTAGTGTAAGGAATATTAGAGTGGATGTCTCCATCGAGAGGCCTGCTGAGATAATGGTGTGCTCCAAGGACAGCCGTGTTCTAGTTAAAGCAAGGAAGTGGAGAGCAGCTTTTCCACAAAAGGTTGAAAGTGTAGAAGAGTTTGTTGGCCATAAAGCCCTCATTCCTGGGGAACCACCAGAGTTCGGGAGTAGAAAGAGAAAAGGCAGGGCGGGGAGTGGGAGGGAACTGCAGAGCAGTAGGGGAGTCACAGAATGGGGCAGACTGAGTGATGAGAGGATCATGACTTACAGGGGTCATGTAGCCCTGATCCTGGTGAATCCCCTGGATAAATGTGTATTTTTAAGCCACATGCCAAAGGGTTACTGAGTGAAGGAAGACTAAGGTGGTCTGTGGTGCAATCTGCTGACCAGCCCTGAGGCATTTGATGGTTAGACCTGATCTTCCTTCCCACCCAAAGAAGTGCTTTCTGGGGCACCCGGGTGGCTCAGTCGGTTAAGCGTCCGACTTCAGCTCGGGTCATGATCTCGCGGTTTGTGGGTTCGAGCCCCACGTCAGGCTCTGTGCCGACAGCTCGGAGCCTGGAGCCTGCCTCGGATTCTGTGTCTCCCTCTCTCTCTGTTCCTCCCCTGCTCACTCTCTCTCTCTCTCAAAAATAAAGATTTTTTAAAAAAATTTTTTTTCTTTAAAAAGTGCTTTCTTCCCACGTTCCCTCTCTCCCTTTCTTCCCAATCCTGCAGTTTCCTTCTCCTTCCCTTAAAAAAGTCTTTCTTAGCCCTTGTTTCTCTTCTAATTCTTTCTTTGGCCTTAGACATCCCAAGGCCACAGATGGCATTCGTGGCTAAGAAGGGCTGCTGACCCTTATTAGATAAAAGCGTTCATCACAGTATAAGGAATGAGTGTGAGAAAGAAGTGCTGTGTCAGGCTTCATGCCGTGAAGTTTAGGAAGTGATTGCTCTAGCTACCAGTAAACAGCACGGCCTCTATGAAACTGAGTCATTGAGCCCATCAAACCCAAACACCTGTTCGTTTTATGGCACCTTTCCTAGATACACAGGAGAGAGATCAAGGCAGTTACATTTGCTGTCCTGTTGGGATGGGAATATCGGTGTACAAATGCTATTTATTATGCTCTGACTTCTTCCTGTCTTACCTCGGTACCGATGAACATACGAATTAATTGATGCATCTCATAAAAAGTTGTAAGATTACAGAATTTACTAAAGGTAACTTTTCTTTTGTCACAGATGCGTCAATACTTGTATTCCCTTTTTATTAAACACAGTGACTGAATGAATATTGGACCTGATAGGCTTGCAGGTTTTGCTTCTTGCCACATTTACTTTTGCTTCTCACCGCCTTTTCTGTCACCATTTGTGTCTGCCACTTCTGCCTTCTGCTGCCCGCCCCCTTTTCTGGCTGTTGTCATATTTCTGCCCTACTGTCTGCCACCTTCTCTTTGAAGCATCTGCCTATTGTTTTTTCAGACTCCCTGCATCTGAAACTATCCTACTGAATAGTCACATCATCAATTGTGAAGTTGAGGGAGTATTCATATATAAAATAAAGATGACTCTATGTAAATAATTATGGCATTATTTTGAAATTTTGTTAAGTATTACATCAAACTATTGCTAAACCTAGGGATTTTTTATTTTATTGTGGATTATCAAATCTCTGGCCTTTATTACACAAGACTGAGAA